CGGGTGTAAAAGGGGGGAAGTATTGCAGCAAAATAGTCCGTAAATGGATACCTCTATAGAAACGGTAGGTCATTTTATGCTGACCGCGCAGCAGTGTTGCCTATTCATTGCCGACGCAAATGACCGGGGACCCAAAAAAAAAATATCTTTATGTGGGTAAAGACGGGGCGACCCAAAAGTTGGATACGGAGGACAAGGGGGTGGGGTGTATCAAATTTCTGTTACCCTGTAAAGCAAAGGGAGCCTAAACAACCACAAATGAGACACAGGCATAGATGCAATTGGAAAAGTGCTGCAAGGAGGCATAAAATTCAGCATTAAAAATACTAGCCAAAGGGGGGAAAATAGTAAATCCCCGTACGACGCTGTCCGGAAACCCCTGCTGCGAATCCTACACCGTCAGAAGGCTTAGGCCATCTGTGTACACAGAAAAGGCATAAAATAAAGGGGGAAGTGGCAAGAAAAAGAGAGGGGGAACGCCCGTAACAGTTGAGCTTTCGAGAAAGGGGAAGAGAAAAAACAGACCAAACAGCTGGAACTTCCCGGGGGGTAGGGAAAAGTGGTGCACTGAAATAAAAAGGGGTGGTAATTGAAGAGAAGACAAAGCGAAAGAAGACGAAGAAAAAAGGGATGGGGGTAAACAGGGCGGCAACAAATAAAGAAGTTACTAATATCGTGATTGAGAATCAGACCATAATGTACGAAGGCAAGGGGCTTCAGGGCGATGGGAAAAGGAGGAACGTTCGCTTTGCAAGAGGCTCTCAACGGGGGAAACAAAACCCAAGGCAAAAGTAATCCTTGTGATAATGGGGGTTAGGCTAAAAGAGTAGCAGGAGATGCCGCTGAATAGATCGGTCCCATAATCAATTTCATAAAATGAGGTGGAAAGAGGTGAAGGAGGTTCGACGACAGCTCCCCATGAAAGTAGCAAGGGGTTTTAAAAAGGTTCGCCCGGGTGGACAAGTTGCCTTTAGAGGGTAAGTGAGGTTTCCAGGATAACCTTGGTCAAAGAGGGGGCCCAGAAACTTGACTGACACTTTCAGGGTACGGAGCCCAAAAGGTACAAAGGACATCGGGGAGACAAAAGTCTGTGAAAGTAATTTTGGGGGGTTTTAGACTGGAAAATTTAAGCCCATGTGTGGTGCCCCAAATTGGGAAAAACGGTCGGGGCGCTGTGGGGAGAAAATGTAATGAGGGAAGTCAGTCCGCACAGGCAAAAGCGAAGTCTCAAATGAGTGATGACCAAAATTTGATGGAAGACTAGAGCCAAAATATTTGCAAGGAGAAAAAATGTTGTGCTCAAACACATCCCCCGGGGGACACCTTCACTTGGTAAAGTCCGGGGAGCACTTATAACCCAAACGGAAAGCCTGTCAGTTAAAAAGTTCTTAAGGGAAAGGGTGGAATGCCTCGAAGGCCCAAGGAGGGCTTGGGGTAAAATTTATACCTCCAAGTTGTGTCATTGCCTTCTCAAAGGCAAAAAATATGGCAAAAAACGAGGGGTTATTGTAAAGGAATACGAACAACGTACCAAGATGTAAGGGGTCTATGGGAGAACGTCCCTTACGAAAGCCTTTGTGAGGGGTAACTGTTTTGTGTCTCAAATCCACACTAAACGCAATTTACCAGCTTCCCTTACTTTTAAACTGCCTGGAAAAGGGGAATGGGGGGTAGTGGAGGCTTCTGTCCCGGTGCTGGTTTGCGGAAAGGGGAAACAATGGCAGATTTCCCCCAGCTGTGGGAAAAACTCCTTTGGCCCAAAAAAGATGAAAGGCGTAAAAGGGGCTGAAAAAGGGTGACTGAGTAAAAGTTGTAGCATACGAATATGAATGTCATGGGCCCGGTGCGATGATCGGCAACTGAAGTGTTGCCTCCAGTTCTTGAAGTGTAAAAAAGGGACATTAACTGTTTTTTCTGGAGAAGAAAAGTCCAAGGGTGCAAATCCTGCAGACTTTGAGGAAAGAAAAGAGGGGCATGATGGATTTCCCCGAGAAAAATGCCAATATTGCCAATTTCATTGGAACACTGTGGGTTTGCTATATCAAAACCGGCAACCCGCAGAACAGGGCCAGGTCAGGAGAATATTTACCCCTCAGTTTCCGATTTTTCCAGACTGCCTCAGAGGAAGCAGAGGTTGGTGGAGACATAATCTCACCCCAATCGTTTGCATCAGGGTGACACCGACAATCGCCGCTTCTGCTTAAAAAACAAGAATTCTCCGTGGTTCATTGACTGGTACGCCCCATGCGGGCTTTTTAAACGTACTGCACAAGCACAAGCAGGGGACCACCAAGGCACACATTTTTAAATGCCTGCCCGAAGTTTGGGGAAACAAAATTGAAGCCGTTAAACGGAGGACAGAAGAGGGGAAAAAGTCATCAATGGAGGACGAAGAAGAACCCTCTAAAAACAGTTAGGGTGAGTAAAGGTTCCAATTTTCCCGAAAAATTTCCAGCGTGGGATGCGAAAAGGGGGTGAAAAGAAGGGGAAGTAAGAAAGATTGGGGGAAAAGAATTGCTGTCATAAATCCGGGGGGGAAAACCAAGGGGCTAAGCAGCGGAGGAAGAGCAAAATGAAGATCGATGCAAAAGGGAGGTGAGAACCGGGGGGGGGGGGGGGGGGGGGGGCCCCGGGGTGGACCCCCCAAAATGGTGGATTAAAAAATATAAAAATGGAGGGTTGGAAAAAAAGCTCCAATGAAAATTTCCAGGGGAATCACAGGAACCCCCAAGAAGTGGTGGGGGTTTTAAAAAGCCAGGGAAAACAAATGTAGCGGTAATGCGAAAGAAAGGCAAATTCATTTAAAGGCCCCAAGGGAAAAGAGAAGAATAAAAAAAATTTTCCAATGGGGGGGGATAAAAGGGTTTTTTTGTGAAAAAACCCCCAAAGGAAAAGGGTAAAAACTAAACTAAATTACCCCGGGATATTCCCCTGTAAAAAGGCCTTTCAAAAAAGTCCAAATCGAAAAAGGTTTTTAAGATAATAAAAAGCCCTGGGGGGGAAAACCAGCAAGGAATGGTTTTGAAAAAAAACCCAAACAAAAGGGAAAAACGGGGGTACATTCTGAGGGGGTCCCCTTACAAAGCCGGTTTTAAATTCAATGTTATGGGGCCATGGAAAATTGGGGGGGAAAATAAAGATTAACTGAAAAACTTCCCCGGTAGGGGGGGCTAGGGAAAAAGAAAGGGGAAGGGGGGGAAAAGGGGAAAAAATGGGAGGGGGAGGGAAAACTTCAAGAAGGCAAAGGAAGGTGCCTTAAGACAAAAGTGGAGGGGGAGCAGAAAAAAAGGGGAAGGAAAAAAAAAAGGGGTGGTAAAATGTTCCTTATTTTTTTGACTTTTAGAATAAAGGGCTTAAGGGGTTCATCAATTGTCGTAATGGGAGAAATAAAAGGGAAAATGGGGTAAAGGGGGGGAGTGGAAAAAAGAAATTGAACTGTATGGGAAAGGGGAAAACCCGAGGGGGGCGAAAGGGTCCCAAAGGGGGATGGAAACCGGGAAAAAAAGAGGGACCCTGGAGGCGGAGGAAAAAAACTGAGGGAAAAGGGGGGAAATTCGTTTGAGGAGGATTTCCCCTCTTTTAAAAAAGAAAGCAAGGGGAAAGGGGACCCAGACAAAGGAAAGGGAGGTGAGAAACGTAGAGGTTGGAACGACTTTTTTTGACTTTTTGGAGGGAAAAAAAGAGAATTTTAATGTTCGGTTAGGGCCCTTTTGAACTTTTAAAAGGAAAAAAAACAGGGAGGGGGTCAGGCGCAAAAAAAAAGAGAAGGGGTTTTTCTGCCCCGGCAGAAAAAATGTTACAGGATTGGGGCTTGGAGTTCCAGTGTTCAAAAAGTGTCCAAAGTTGGAAAATTTTTTAAAAAGGATAAGAAACGGTACCCCTTGAGGGAATGAAAAACGGCCATGAAAAAAAGGGAAAAACTCGCCCTTTGAGGTGGGATTTCCGCTCTTAAAAGAAAAAAAAACTTTACCCAAAAGGGGGGAGTCGAAAAGTGGTCAGAAAATAGGCAAGAAATCGGTCAAAATGAAAAAATTTGGGCCCCTTTGGCAAAACAGGGGAAAGGTAGGAAGACTGCAATTTCTGGAAGCAAATGGAATTTCTCACTTTGCGGGGGTTTTTTTGGGGAAATTGGTACCCAAGGGGGGGCTTCAAATTGAGAGGGAGGCCGGGCTTCAAAAAGGAAATCGAAAATCAAAGGGTATGGGCTCGCCCCCCGGGGGGAGGGAAAAAGCACCGGGGGATAAAAATGGGGGTTCCAGTGGGGCAAAAAGAGGCGGGGAAAGGGGGGGCTATGAAGGGCCCCCGGGGGCGGGCATACAGGGTTGAGGGGTTATTTTTCTTTTTTTTTGAAAAAAAAAAAAAGAAAAAATTTTGAAAAAAAAAAAAAAAAAGGGGATTTTGGGGGGGATGTTCCCCTAAGGAAAGAAAGGGAAAATTCCCCCCCACCCCAAAGGCCTAAAGGAAATGCCGGGAATGGGTCCCAAAAATACATAAAAGGAACCCGGATAAATAAGAATACCTTGGGGACAAAAAGGGGGGGGGGAAAGACAAAACATCCCCCTTTTTGAAAGAACCGAAAGGTGGAGAATACCCCATCGCCAGGAAAAAGCCCCCCCCGGGATGGAAGGGGACGGGAACCCCCGGCATTCCCAATTCCACGGAAATAGACCGGAAGAATTTTGGGGCGAAATGGGGGGAAAAGGACCCCTTCCCCCCTGGTACCCGTGGGGAAAAAAAAAAAAAAAAAAAAAAAAAAAAAGGCCAAAAGGGAAGGGCAAAAGGGAGGGGTGGGGAGGAGGAGGAGGAAAGGAAAAAGGGGAGGATGGGATAGGGAACGGGGGATTGGGGGGTAATTAGGTTCGGTCTGAGGAAGTAGACCGACAGGTCTAATTCCTCAGACCAAGAGCCTCTTCACCACGCCAAGGAGCCCCCCTTGAAGAGGCATAATTATTGTACCAGATGTAGTTTTGGGTACATGTTTAATAAGATAAAAAGCTTACTTCCAAATGTGGTAGTGGATTTGTCCTTAAAATATGGATAAAGGCCGTGTCATGTAACCACTCTAATTCTCCATCCAATCGTAAGGTATGAAGTGCAGGAGTGTGACTCAGCAGGAAGTTCAAGCGTTGGTCACTCACAACTCCAACCAGTTTTATGTGCTTTAAATGTGGGTGAGCTGGGGTGGGAATTCCAAAGTCTAGCTGATTATCACATTCTTCTAAACTATGTCGGGCCTGTAAAAAAAAAAATAAATAGTATTCATAAACTGTAAACAGTATTTGATATAACATCAGCAAAAGATTTCACATAAGAGTACATGTTGGAAACAGACATGCAGTTTTGTGTATGGAATCCTGTACAACTGCCTTGTATTTTGGAGTAATGTACCATATAATTAAAGTTAAACCTTATTTGTTCTGTTCATTTCAAAGTTAAAATTTCTAATAACATATAATTTCGTATTCATGATTGTTAATGGATCATAAGAGTAAAACTAAAATTCACTCTATATACCAAAATGACTTATAATGTGTATTTTGCAATTTATATACAAAGATTTTAGTTTCTAGAGGACATATGTTACTTTCAGATGCAAAATATTTGAAATGAAACCCTTAGTGGAAAAAAACACACAGCTATTTACACCATGGAGTTAAATGCAAGAAAAAAATTATAATAATTGTTAACATTCCATATTCTAGAATCTTATTAGATAATATTCTAGTCGAGACTACGCTGTAAAATTACAAAATTGGCACTAATCACAGGATTTAACATAGTACAGGTTGACCATCACTAATCTGGCATCATTGGGACCTGTAGGGTGCTGGATTAGTGATTTTGCCGGATTACAGAGTGGTTAGGTTACAATACGCTTAACCCAACAGCTAACCACCACATGCTATCTTCAAAATACCCCATACATCAGTACAAGTTGGTTAACCCTTTCACTGTCGTGACCCCTGCTCGTAAACTTGCTCCCATTCTCCTGGTGCTGTATCACCACAACAGTTAGGTGCTTACCAATGACTGTAATAACTATTATCTACCATAATTTAGGAAGCTTGCTCTGAGACTAGGTAATGTGGATGATGAGCCACAAAACCATTAACAGATGTACAGTATACAGTGGAACCTCAATTGTCGAATGCACTACTTACTGAACAAATCTGTTTTCAAACAAGGAAGCCAAGAAAAAAATGTCCTGGTTTTTGTTCGTGCTCTTGGTTGCTGACCAACAATGCTCAGATCACATGATCACCAGAGTCGACAGCGTGAGTCTCGGTTAATACAGCCACTAACTCGAGTGCTGTAAGCATCTCTTGAGCTTTTGTGTGCATCGCGCTGTATGACCCTTGTAGGTTTACCGCTTCTTTTTTTATAATTTTGTGTGCATCTTGTGAACTTTTTTGTTATTTTGCAGTTTTGGTGCAATTTTTTTAGTGTGATAAGCCATCATTTTTGTCTGTGATGCATGGGAAAAAATGTGAAAAAATAAAAAAATGAGTTTTTACAAAAAAAAAAAAAAAAAAATTTAAGAATTTGGCAACATTTTGGTGTTAAGTCTCATATTTATACAATGTTTTTATAACAAATTATAGTTATTTCAACATTTCTTGTGATAACATGCATGTAATATATGTCTGAATATGAAGTGATTTTTCATTTTTTTCTTTTTTAATTATTTTCTGTATTATTTATAATATATTAAATTCATCATTTGGCATCACTAAAAAGCGGGAGGAGCTATAAAAGAGAGGTTGAGGGAGTATCAGAGCGTCTTGGTAATTGCTCAGTGCTCATGACGGACGGTCGAGTGCATCATGGCACTATAATGTTTTGCATAATTCAGCAATTACTAACAATAAATTTTATCTACCTATCACATATTCCAAAATGGTATTAGACACAAGAAAAATAAGAATGAAGCAAAATAAAAATGCCCAAATTAATAATTGGCATTATATGGAGCACCAGTGAGAGCAAAACCCAGATCTCACCATATATTATGAAATCGGATGATAAATAAAAAAACACGAGGACCCAGAATATGTTGTTCCTTAAAGTGGAACCTGAAACAAACCTCACTGGACAAGTTTTTAGTGAAAGAACCAGCGAGCCAGAACAAGGTGTTAGTAGTGGGAAGTGAAACAACAAAAGAAGGAGAGTTGCCTGACTCTCCTTCCAAGCAATAACATCCTCCTCTCTCCACTTCCTGCTTCCAGTATGCCATTAGCTCTTCTCTGACAGATAAGAAGCAGTTAAATTTTCTTTTACTGTACAGTATTTCAGTTAAAGTTTCTTTTAGTATTAATTTTTAGTTTTATGTAGTATTTAGTACATTTTTAATAAATTATTATATGTATTGTCATTTGGGGTTTGGAATGGATTAATTCTATTTACATTATTCTTTATGGGAAAAAGTGCTTTGATTGTCAAATCAACATCTGGAATGAATTAAGTTCAACAACTGAGGTTCCACTGCACTAATTATATCAGCTATATTTTTTTTATTAACACATCAGCTGTTTCCCACCAAGGCAGGGTGGCCCGAAAAACTTTCAGCATCATTCACTCCATCACTGTCTTGCCAGAGGCATGCTTACATTACAGTTACAAAACACCCCTTCCCATCTCCAGGAATCAAGTCCGGCCTGCCGGTTTCCCTGAATCCCTTCATAAATGTTACCTTGCTTACACTTCAACAGCATGTCAAGTCCTAAAAACCATTTGCTCATGCACGCTTGCTGGAAGTACAAGCCCCTTGCACACAAAACCTCCTTTACCCCCTCCCTCCAACCTTTTCTAGGCAGACCCCTACCCCACCTTCCCTCCACTACAGATTTACATACTCTCAAAGTCATTCTATTTTGTTCCATCCCCTCTACATGTCCAAACCATTTCAATAACCCTTCCTCAGCCCTCTGGATAATAGTTTTGGTAATCCCGCACCTCCTCCTAATCTCCAAACTACATATTCTCTGCATTATATTCACACCACACATTGCCCTCAGACATGACATCTCCACTGCCTCCAGCCTTCTCCTTGTTGCAACATTTACAACCCATGCCTCATACCCATACAAGAGCGTTGGTATAACTATACTCTCAAACATTCCCCTCTTTGCTGTCATGGATAAAGTTCTTTGTCTCCAAAGACTCCTCAGTGCACCACTCACCTTTTTCCCCCTCATCAATTCTATGGTTCACCTTATCCTTTGTAGACCCATCTGCTGACACGTCCACTCCTAAATATCTGAATACATTCACCTCCTCCATACTCTCTCCCTCCAATCTGATATCCAGTCTTTCATCATCTAATCTTTTTGTTATCCTCATAACCTTACTCTTTCCTATATTCACTTTTAATTTTCTTCTTTTACATACCCTACCAAATTCACCCACCAAACCTCTGCACCTCTGCAACTTCTCTTCAGAATCCCCCAAAAAGCACCATGTCATCAGCAAAGAGCAACTGTGACAACTCCCATATATATACAGGGGGACCCCGGTTTTAACGATATTTTTTCATTCCAGAGTATGTTCAGGTGCCAGTTACTGACCGAATTTGTTCCCAAAAGGAAATATTGTGAATTTAGATTAGCCGTTTCAGACCCCAAAACATACACGTACAAACGCACTTACATAAATACACTTACATAATTGGTGCATTGGGAGGTGATCGTTAAGCAGGGGTCCACTGTACATGTATATATATATAGACATGTACACACACCCCTCTGGGTTTTTTCTGTTTTCTTACTAGTTCTTGTTTATTTCCTCTTATCTCCATGGGGAAGTGGAACAGAATTCTTCCTCCATAAGCATGCGTGTCATAAGAGGCGACTAAAATGTTGGGAGCAAGGGGTACTAACCCCATCTCCTGTATACATTACTAAAGTTTAAAAAGAGAAACTTTTGTTTTTCTTTTTGGGCCACCCTGCCTCGGTGGGATACGGCCGATTTTGTTGAAAGAAGAATGATTTAATATTTTAAAACAAAACTTGAGTACCTTCACACACTGTTAGAGCACTGTCACACTGTCAAGAGTACTGTTAAGTGCTGTTAGAGCATGTCACCTTTTAACAGTACTCTCCTCAATGGTATAGTAAGCAGAACCCACAGTTTATAGTCTTTATAGTAATCATCGGGAAAAAAAGTCTAATGACTTACCTGATCTGGTCGTTCTGCTTCTACCTATCCAATGTATTATATATCATTAGTAAAACTTTGGCACTTCCTCTTTTCAAATAAGGAAAACAATAGCATAGTTTCTCAGTGATAACAAAAGTTAGATGCAACTTTTCATGTTTACCCGTCACTGCAAGATTTATAATTATCTATTAGCATTCATAAGGTCCATCTTAAAAGACAATTTACATTGCAGTACTGTACTGCATATACTCTGCACAAAAAATTTTGTCTAGAGAAATAACTAAAACAGTAGATTATTTTAGGAAATGAGTTAAATTCTTGAAATGAGTAACATTAAATTTTTACATTTAAAAAATATCTAAAAAACAACTTCAAAAAAAAAAAATACTAAAAATACAGTATAACACTTTCAAGATTTCTGTTAAAAACCAAATTTAATTTTTTTTATCATTAAAAAACCCACAGGTATTGATCAGTGGCAAATTTAACATAAGAGAAAAAGGGGCCCCCCTGGGTGTGAGAGCCCCCCCAAGGCTTTTTTGTATAAAAAAAGTTGTAATGAAACAAAAAAATGCATTATTAGTTTCCTTGATTTGTTTTATTTTACTTGCTAACAGGGGAAAACCTGGTTGAATTTAACCCGTTCCGGACCGTGTTGTACCCCAATTTGTTCGTATGTTGAGTCATTTTTCCCTTTTTAAAAAAATTAAATTGAAATGGTTTAAATCTTTCCAGCAAAATTTCCCTGCTCAGGAGGCGCGACAAAATTTCGTATGATGCTTTTATCAACTTTTCGGTTATTTATAATCACAACCGTTAATTTCACTATACTCAAGGAATGCACAACAGGTGTTACTGTCAATGTTGCATTTCTTTGATGTAGCTTCCTGTAAACTCCCTTAGCCAGTCAAGATGAGTAAATGAATTTTCATTTCTTATTGTTGGGTATGTTTATTTGTTGTGGGTTTGGTCTTGAAGGGCCCGCCCGTTGGGCCAATGGCCTATGCAGTGTTTCCTTTTTTTGTTATCCCCACAAAAACCCTGATACCGCCCTCCCCTATTACCTCCTCCCCATTTAAAAGCTCAAAACCCCCCGTGTTTTCATGCCCAAAAATTTTTGGGGAAAAAAAAAAACTGTTTGGGGTTGTTCCACGTGTTTATCCCTTTTAAATTTTCAATTAAAAATCAAATATAAAAGCTAAAAAGTAAAGTAAAAAATGAAATACCCAAAAAAAAACAAAAAAAATAAAGTCATTACAAAAATGTGATGTTGTATTCAGTAGTAAAGGGTTTGACTTACGTCCATTTTGATTCGACGATTTGTCGGGAAAAAAGAACTCGGTCGTAAGTCGGACGGTACCGTATTTGTCCAATCTCTTTTTAAAACATAGAAGGAGGAACACGCGAAGGCCTATTGGGCCCTTACAAGGCAGGTCCCTTTTAAAAAAAACCCCCACCCAAAGCTACCCCGAAATTTTTCCCTACCAATGACACCAAACAAACCAGCCCCTCCCACTCATTTTTTTGTCCAATTCTTTTTAAAGCTACCCCAAGGCCCGCCCCGTCACCCTATGGGAAGATTTCCCCGCATCCAAACTCGTTAGAAAACCGTACTACCAATCCTTTCTAATCTAAATTTTTTCCAAATTTTAAACCCATTTTTTTGGTTTTTACCTGGTTCGAACCCCCTCAGTACTTTTATCCCCCTTGTTTATCCCCGTTCCATTGTACCCCTTAATGATATTCCCCTTTTAGTCTCTCCAGCGAGTTTGTTAAGGTTTTAAAGTCTATCTTCATATGGGAGTTTTTTCTTACCGTAATCATTTTAGTCATTTTCTCTGTTGTTCTCCAATGAGTCTTATCCTCCTGTAGAAGAAGACCAAAATGAGTGGCTATCTAAATGAGGTTATAGTGAGGTTAGAGCGTAAAAAAACTTTTGGCTTTGTTTCTTATATTCTAGAGAAAATCCCAGTAATCTGTTAGCCTTGTGACACTAAGGCCTGTGTTTGGCTTTGATTTCTGTGTCCCAAATCCCCAAGTCTTTTTACATCCCGATATCAACTCTGTTCACCCAGTTTATGCTTCGGGGTTATTTTTATTTTCAAGGATGTCTTTACCTTTCCCCAAAGAAAATTCTTTACCCTTTTCCGACCAAAACTTAATTTGTCCAAAATCCTCCTGAAGTTATTCCTATCCTCTAGAAGAATAATTGGCCTATCTTTGTTCATCGCAATTTACTATGTCACTCGTAATCCCTCATAAAGTCATTAAAGTAAAATTTTTTAACAAGAGGGGGCCTAAAAAAGATCCTTTGGAAAGCCCTAGTGCTAATCCCCATTCTGATTTGACCCATTTAAAGGGAAATGCTTTTATTGGTAAGCCTGCCTTCATGCTAGAACTTTTCCTTTATACCCTGGGCTGCCACTTTTTTAAGGTCTTTGTGAGGTACCTATAGGCTTTACTAAAACCAAAAAAAAATTTTTATTCTTTTCACGTCCACTGTCAATGTTTATTGAAGAAAATCAGTAAATTTTTCAGGTAGGAACGACCTTTCGTGACCCTGATGGATTCATTAATCAAATTATGTGTTCAAGGGGGACTTCTAATAATGTCAGCTATAAGTGATTCTAATAACTTGCTCACTTAGTGTCAGGCTTATTGGACGGTAATTTGAAGGAGTGGATTATCCCCAAGGTTCTATCGAAGCTAAAACCTTGGGTAGTTTCAAATTTAGGTTGGATAAACACGTGAGTGAGAGGGGTTGAATTTGAGTGGGTCTTGGACGTGAATAAATAGAATTATTAAAGCTAATCCCCATTCAAATCTGAATGGGGGACTGTCACTAGTGGCAGCCCATAAGGATCAGTTTTAGGACTCTCTTGTTCATAATTTACACTAATGACCTTGATGAAGGGATTACGAAAGTGAATAAGCAAATTTGCTGATGTAAAAAGATAGGCCATATTATTCATTCTGAGGAGGATAGCAATGAACTCCAGGGGATTTGGACAAATTTAATGTCTTGGTCTAAAAAAATGGCAGATGAAGTTTAATGTGGATTAAGTGTAAGGTATAGTCCTTGATAATGAAAATAACCCTCGAAGCTATAAACTAGGTGAAGTAGAGCTTGTTTCATACGAATGTGAAAAAGATTTGGGAGCCATGGTACGCAGAAATCAAAAAGCCAAGACAGTAGTCCCTAAGTGTGTGCAACAAGGCTAAAGATTACTTGGATTCATCTCAAGAAGTATAAGTAACAGAAGCCCAAAAAAGTTATTTTACAGCTCTATACTCACTAGTGAGGCCTATTTAGATTATGCTCCCTCAGTTTTGGTCTCCTTACTACAGGATGGATATAGATCATTGGAGAACATACAGAGAAGAATGACTAAAATGATTTACTGTGTAAGGAATCTCCCATATGAAGATAGACTTAAAGCCTTACATCTCCACTCTCTGGAGAGACGTAGAATGAGGGGAGATATCATTGAAGTGTTAAGTGGATGAGGGCATAAACAAAGGAGAAAGTTAATAAAGTACTGAGGGTGTCAAACAGGTAAGAACCAGAAATAATGGATTTAAGTTGGATAAATTTAGATTTAGAAAGGACATAGAACTAAGAACTTTAAAAAAGGGGAGGAACACTGCATCAGGCCTGTTGGCCATACTCGGCAGGTCCTTTACAATCCACCCTGCTACAAAACATTTGCCCAACCCATTTTCAATGCTCCCTAAGAAATAAGGTCCGATAACTATCCACTAATATATGCAAGTCCCGCTCAAATCCAAACCCCCTCTCGCTCATGTATTTATCCAACCATAAATTTGAAACTACCCAAGGTTTTAGCCTCAATAACCAACTAGGTAGATGTTCCACATCAACTACCCTATTTCCAAACCATTACTTTCCTATATCCTTTTTTAAATCTAACTTGTCCATTTGAATCATTATTGCGGGTTCTCTCTTGGAGAGATATCCTCAAGACCTTATTTATACCCCCTTTGTTAATACCCATCTTCCATTTTACACTTCGATCATGTTTTCCCCTCATTCTTCGTCTTACAAGTGAATTTTAGTTTAACCCCTTTTAGGGTCGACAGGCCCTCTCCGAAACCGTTCTCAGGGTCGGCCAAATTTCAAAAAAAAAAATTATTTTTTCTTATGAAAAATAGAGTTTTTTTTTTAAACATTATAGGATAAACAAAAAAAATTTACCCTCAATATTACGGAGATATGGATGCATGAAGTTTGCAGAAAATGAGCCGCGTATTTGGGAACAGCGGCGACTGCGCTCACCGGTAAACTTTAGTTACTTGTATTTGAAGGTTTGTTGTTTTTTTCACTACAGTGGCCCCGCATAACGATGGCATCACATAGCGATTTTTCGCATAAACCCATTACTTTTATCGCAAAATTTTTGCCGCGCATACCGAATTAAAAAACCCGCTTACCCATTTTGTCCGAGACGCGTCCCAAAGTGCCTTCAGCCCGCCTCACATGTGCCGGCCGTCCCATTGTTTACCAGCCAGCCTCCGCGGTAACATCCCAAACTACACTCGGAAAATTTCGTATTATTACAGTGTTTTCGGTGCTGTTTCTGGAAAATAAGTGACCATGGGCCCCAAGAAAGCTTTAGTGCCAAACCCTGTGGTAAAAAGGGTGAGAATTAGTATGGAAATTAAGAAAGATTTTGAAGGGTTTGGGGCTAACCCCGAGAAGCCTATCCCAGTTGTGGAATCCATTGTGCCTACTTCAAAGATTAAGGAAATGTGTGCACAGTGGGTTGAACTGCAAACCTTTATAGATGAAATCCCCCTGACACAGCTGTTGCAAGCCGTGCTGGTGACTATTTCAATGACAATGTTGTGGCCCATTTTAGACAAATCGTAAAGGAACGGGAGGTACAGAGCTCTATGGACAGATTTGTTGTGCGACAGAGGTCCAGTGACTCTCAAGCTGGTCCTAGTGGCATTAAAAGAAGAAGGGAAGTAACCCCGGAAAAGGACTTGCTACCTCAAGTCGTAATGGAAGGGGATTCCCT